CAAGCCCTGGTCCACCAACCTGGCTCCTTGAATTTTAACCCTGCCAAATGCAAAGTTCCAATGAAGACTGGAAGGCAAAGAAGACCGCAGACACAATATAGTTTAGATGGCCAAAGCTGCAAACTCACTCAAGGAAAAAGATCTGAGGGTTAGTATCTAACACCAGAGCAATCATCCTGATGGCGCACATCAATCAATAACTGCTGCAGCATAACGGGCGCCGGCAAACCTAATCTGATAGCGTTCCGAACACCCTCATAAGGATCGTTCAAGACATCTGTATACCCTATTTAACGTCAGGACCATACAGGGCGGTATGCAGTCACCAGATTGGAAATCCATGCACCTAGTCAAGCACGTCACAAAATTTAGAGCAAGTAAAAAGGTTTGAAACAAGACTAGTCCACATAGCAGAGAACTGGGATGTCCTACGAAGAAAGGCGAGGGAAATAGCGAGGCTGAAACGCCATGGAGGACAGGATGGTCATGGAAACATGAAAACGACATGATAAAATACTGCGGCGGAATGGACAAGGTGGACACGAGACGGATGTTCCATAGAATGACAACAGACACAAAAAGGTCACAATTGTGGAAGTTGAAGACCTCAGAAGAATCAAAGGGATGTTAGGAATGCGAGTTCTTCAGTCATAGAGTAGTCCAAGCCGTGGAATAGCCTAGAAAGTGACGTAGTTGAGGCGTGAACCCAACATAGTTACTGAACGGCTGGACAGGGAGAGCGATACAATAAAGGCGACGGGCAAGGTGAGAGAGGACCTATGTAGCAATCATGAAGAGGCGGGCCAGGACATGACTCGACCCCTGCAACCTCGCAAATAGGTGAGGTACAAATAGGTTAGTACACACACAGCGAGGGAGTGGGGCACACACACACACACACACACACGCGCACACCCAACACACACGCACCATCACACACAACACACACTCACACACACACACACACACACACACACACACACACAGCACACACACATAAATATAAAAAAATTAAGTCCCTGCCCAGTGTCTAGCTAACAAGTGCTTCTTTCATAACTTGTACTATTAACTACTACTAAGCATACACCCCTTCCCGACCAAGTGTCTCTCGTCAAGTGCCTTTGACAACTAGAGACAAGTAACTACACACAAGGCTTGTTCCTGAGCTAAGAGTCATAAACTAAGAGGAGAGGCTAATGGAATTAGACCTAACGACAGTGGAAGACAAGGGAAACCAGGGTAGACTTGATAATAACAAAATACTCGGGAATAATTCATACTGTAGGCTGTCTCAAAAACGAGAACTTGAGAATATCGATGGAAGATAAAGTCACATGTGATTCACAGGGATGTTAGGAAGTATTTGTTCACTCTTAAGGTGGGGAACATCTTGGTGACGAAATAGTGGAGACAGAATCCATACATATTTTTAAGAGCAGGCACGATAGTGCCCACGAGGCTAAAGCCAAAATGTGGGAATCGACTCCTGCAACCACAAATGGGTGAGTACATACAAATAATTTGAGTACACACAAACACACACACACACACAGGATCCATACACATGTGTATGAAGAGGTACAATACGGCTCTTGAAGCCGAGGAAGAGTGGAACTAGTAACGACCAGAAAATATGGGACCAGGACATGTGACCCCACCCCTGCAGCCACATATTGGTAAGCTCGCACATACACAAACAAACACAAGTCAGCAAAGTTAATGTTCGCACCTGCGTAACCATGTGTAGCCTTTGTAACACTTGTATACAGTTGGTCTGGCAGAATTAATTAAATCCGGGGATGGTATACTCACTCTTATAGCAGAACACTCTTTTATCGTACCCACGGTAGGCCTGCGGTGCCCTAGGCTTTGCTATAAGGCCGGCGACCTGCCTAAGGTCAAATGTGGCTCCAGGTTGAGGCTGCAGCTGTAGGGTGCCACCTCCTGTGTCTACGACATCGTTATAACAAGCCGAGAGATCTGAGGATGGTTCATTCAGTGTTAGCTTGTGAGCCCATGGTAAGTCCGTCAGTGTGGACCCATGGTGGATTTGTCAGTGTGGACCCATGGTGGATCTGTCAGTGTGGACCCATGGTAGGTCCATCAGTGTGGACCCATGGTCGATCGGTCAGTGTGGACCCATGGTAGGTCCGTCAGTGTGGACCCATGGTAGGTCCGTCAGTATGGACCCATGGTGGGTCTGTCAGTGTGGACCCATGGTGGGTCTGTCAGTGTGGACCCATGGTGGGTCTGCCAGCGTGGACCCATGGTGGGTCTGTCAGTGTGGACCCATTGGTGGGTCTGTCGATTGGACCCATGGTGGGTCTGTCAGTGTGGACCCATGGTGGGTCTGCCAGCGTGGACCCATGGTGGGTCTGTCAGTGTGGACCCATGGTGGGTCTGTCAGTGTGGACCCATGGTGGGTCTGTCAGTGTGGACCCATGGTGGGTCTGTCAATGTGGACCCATGGTGGGTCCGTCAGTCTTGACCCATGGTGGGTCTGTCAGTGTGGATCCGATTATGGTCCGTCAGTGTGGACCCATTGTGGGTCTGTCAGTATGGGCCCAAGGTGGGTCTGTCAGAGTGGACCCATGGTGGGTCTGTCAGTGTGGACCCATGGTGGGTCTGTCAGTGTGGACCCATGGTAGGACCGTCATTGTGGACCCATTGTGGGTCTGTCAGTGTGGACCCATGGTGGGTCTGTCAGTGTAGACCCATGGTGGGTCTGTCAGTGTAGACCCATGGTGAATCTGTCAGTGTAGACCCATGGTGGGTCTGTCAGTGTGGACCCATGGTGGGTCTGTCAGTGTGGACCCATGGTGGGTCTGTCAGAGTGGACCCATGGTGGGTCTGTCAGCGTAGACCCATTGTGGGTCTGTCAGTGTAGACCCACGGTGGGTCTGTCAGTGTGGACCCATGGTGGGTCTGTCAGTATAGACCCATGGTGGGTCCATCAGAGTAGACCCATGGTGGGTCTGTCAGTATAGACCCATGGTGGGTCTGTCAGTATAGACCCATGGTAGGTCCGTCAGTGTGGACCTATGGTGGGTCTGTCAGTGTAGACCCATGGTGGGTCCGTCAGTGTGGACCCATGGTGGGTCTGTCAGTATTGACCCATGGTGGGTCCGTCAGTGTGGACCCTTAGTGGGTCCGTCAGTGTTGACCCATTACAGGTCCGTCAGTGTGGACCGATGGTGGGTCTGTCAGTGTAGACCCATGGTAGGTCCGTAAGTGTGGACCCATGGTGGGTCTGTCAGTGTAGACCCATGGTGGGTCCGTCAATGTGGACCCATGGTGGGTCCGTCAGTGTGAACCCATGGTGGGTCTGTCAGTGTAGACCCATTGTGGGTCCGTCAGAGCGGACCCATGGTGGGTCTGTCAGTATTGACCCATGGTGGGTCCGTCAGTGTGGACCTATGGTGGGTCTGTCAGTGTAGACCCATGGTGGGTCCGTCAGTGCGGACCCATGGTGGGTCTGTCAGTATTGACCCATGGTGGGTCCGTCAGTGTGGACCCATGGTGGGTCTGTCAGTGTAGACCCATGGTGAGTCTGTCAGTGTGGACCCATGGTGGGTCTGTCAGTGTAGACCCATGGTGGGTCTGTCAGTGTAGACCCATGGTGAATCTGTCAGTGTAGACCCATGGTGGGTCTGTCACTGTGGACCCATGGTGGGTCTGTCAGAGTGGACCCATGGTGGGTCTGTCAGAGTGGACCCATGGTGGGTCTGTCAGTGTAGACCCACGGTGGGTCTGTCAGTGTGGACCCATGGTGGGTCTGTCAATATAGACCTATGGTGGGTCCATCACTGTAGACCCATGGTGGGTCTGTCAGTATAGACCCATAGTGGGTCTGTCAGTATAGACCCATGGTAGGTCCGTCAGTGTGGACCTATGGTGGGTCTGTCAGTGTAGACCCATGGTGGGTCCTTCAGTGCGGACCCATGGTCGGTCCGTCAGTGTGGACCCATGGCAGGTTCGTCAGTGTGGACCGATGGTGGGTCTGTCAGTGTAGACCCATGGTAGGTCCGTCAGTGTGGAGTGTGGACCCATGGTGAGTCTGTCAGTGTAGACCCATGGTGGGTCCGTCAGTGTGGACCCATGGTGAGTCTGTCAGTGTGGACCCATTTTGGGTCTGTCAGTGTAGACCCATGGTGGGTCCGTCAGTGCGGACCCATTTTGGGTCTGTCAGTGTAGACCCATGGTGGGACCATCAGTGGGGACCCATGGTGGTGCCATCAGTCGGGACCCATGGTGGTAAAATCAGTGGGGACCCATGGTGGGGTCATCAGTGGGGACCCATGGTGGTGCCATCAGTGGGGACCCATGGTGGGGCCGTCAATGGGGACCTATGGTGGGGCCGTCAATGGGAACCCATGGTGGGGCCGTCAATGGGGACCCATGGTGGGGCCGTCAGTGGGGACCCATGGTGGGGCCGTCAGTGGGGACCCATGGTGGGGCCGTCAATGAGACCCATGGTGGGGCCGTCAATGGGGACCCATGGTGGGGCCGTCAGTGGGGACCCATGGTGGGGCCGTCAGTGGGGACCCATGGTGGGGCCGTCAGTGGGGACCCATGGTGGGGCCGTCAGTGGGGACCCATGGTAGGGCCGTCAGTGGGGACCCATGGTGGGACCGTCAGTGGGGACCCATGGTGGGGCCGTCAGTGGGGACCCATGGTGGGGCCGTCAGTGGGGACCCATGGTAGGGCCGTCAGTGGGGACCCATGGTGGGACCGTCAGTGGGGACCCATGGTGGGGCCGTCAGTGGGGACCCATGGTGGGGCCGTCAGTGGGGACTCATGGTGGGGCTGTCAGTGGGGACCAACGGTGGGGCCGTCAGTGGGGACCCATGGTGGGGCCGCCAGTGGGGACCCATGGTGGGGCCGTCAGTGTGGAACCACGGTGGGGTACTCTGTGGGGACCCATGGTGGGGCCGTCAGTGTGGAACCACGGTGGGGTACTCAGTGGGGACCCATGGTAGGGCCGTCATTGTCGAACCACGATGGGGTACTCAGTGGGGACCAATGGTGGGGCCATCAGCGGGGACCCATGGTGGGGTACTCAGTGGGAACCCATGGTTTGGCCATCAGTGGAGACCCATTGTGGGGCCATCAGCGGGGACCCGTGGTGGGGTACTCAGTGGGGACCCATGGTGGGGCCATCAGCTGGGACCCATGGTGGGGTACTCAGTGGGGACCCATGGTGGGGCCATCAGTGGGGACCCATGGTGGGGCCATCAGTGGGGACCAACGGTGGGGCCATCATTGGGGATCCATGGTGGGGCCGTCAGTGGGGACCCATGGTGGGGTACTCAGTGGGGACGAATGGTTGGGTACTCAGTGGGGACCCATGGTGGGGTACTCAGTGGGGACCCATGGTGGGGTACTCAGTGGTGACCCATGGTGGGGCCATCAGTGGGGAACAATTGTGGAGCCGCCAGTGGGGACCCATGGTGGGGTACTCAGTGGGGACCCATGGTTGGGCCATCAGTGGGGACCCATGGTGGTGCCATCAGTCTGGACCCATGGTGGGGCCATCAGTGAGGACCCATGGTGGTGCAATCAGTGGGGAACCATGGTGGGGCCATCAGTGGGGACCCATGGTGGGGCCCTCAGTGGGGACCCATGGTGGTGCCATCAGTGGGGACCCATGGTGGGGCCATCAGTGGGGACCCATGGTGGTGCCATCAGTGGGGACCCATGGTGGTACCATCAGTGGGGACCCATGGTGGGGTCATCAGTGGGGACCCATGGTGGTACCATCAGAGGGGACCCATGGTGGGGTCATCAGTGGGGACCCATGGTGGTGCCATCAGTGGGGACCCATGGTGGGGCCGTCAATGGGGACCTATGGTGGGGCCGTCAATGGGGACCCATGGTAGGGCCGTCAATGGGGACCCATGGTGGGGCCGTCAGTGGGGACCCATTGTGGGGGCCGTCAATGAGACCCATGGTGGGGCCGTCAATGGGGACCCATGGTGGTACCGTCAGTGGGGACCCATGGTGGGGCCGTCAGTGGGGACCCATGGTGGGGCCGTCAGTGGGGACCCATGGTGGGGCCGTCAGTGGGGACCAATGGTGGGGCCGTCAGTGGGGACCCATGGTGGGGCCGTCAGTGGGGACCCATGGTGGTGCCGTGAGTGGGGACCCATGGTGGGGCCATCAGTGGGGACCCATGGTGGGGCCGTCAGTGGGGACCCATGGTGGAACCGTCAGTGGGGACCCATTGTGGGGCCGTCAGTGGGGACCCATGGTGGGGCCGTCAGTGGGGACCCATGGTGGGGCTGTCAGTGGGGACCCATGGTGGGGCCGTCAGTGGGGACCCATGGTGGGGCCGTCAGTGGGGACCCATGGTGGGGCCGTCAGTGGGGACCTATGGTGGGACCCTCAGTGGGGACCCATGGTGGGGCCCTCAGTGGGGAACTTATATAAAACTTGATCACGTGCACTCCCACGCACTCATAGTCACAAACATACACACGGACAAACGCACTCACTCAGAAAAACACACAAACGGGGCAAATACACAGAGACAAACACACACACAGGCAAACAGAAACACAGACACACACACACAAACAAACACAGAAACACACACTCACACACACACACAAACAAACAGACACAGCTACAAACACACACACAGGCAAATACACACAGACAGACAATTACACACACAAATACACACAGACAGACAATTACATACATACAAATACACACAGACATGCTAATAAACACAAACGGACTAATACTTACACAGACAACCACACACCCAGACAAACACACACCCAGACAAACACACACCCAGACAAACACACACACAGACTAACACACATAAACAACAAATATAAACACACATACACACACACACACACACACACACACACACACACACACACACACACACACACACACACACACACACACACACACACACACACACACACACACACACACACCCCACACACAACAAGAAACAAGAGGTCACAATTGGAAATTGAAGACTCAGATTAGTCAAAGGGATGTTAGGAAGTATTTCTTCAGTCATAGAGTAGTAAGGCAGTGGAATAGCCTAGAAAGTGACGTAGTGGAGGCAGGAACCATACACAGTTTTAAGACGAGGTTTGATGAAGCTCATGGAGCAGGGAGAGAGAGGACCCAGTAGCAACCAGTGAAGAGGCGGGGCCAGGAGCTATGATTCGACCCCTGCAACCACAAATAGGTGAGTACACAGACAAACATACACAGACAAACACACTCAGGAAAACATACAGACAAATATACACAAACACACCAAACACACACACAGACACACACGAAGACATGCGTACACAAAGACAAAACACACACCACAAAGAGAAAAGACTCAGACAAACACACATACAAGCACACACACAGACAAACGAACAGAGGCAAATACACAAAGACACATACAAACAGACACA